ACTAGGGCGCCGTAAGCCGGTCGTAATCTGTTTTGCCCCGACGCTCTGCTCGGCGTCGTCGAGGCTCGTTCCCACCGTTCGCCGGTCCCGTATGTCGGAAACCGGGCACTAAACCCATTGACGAACTCCCGGCCCGTCGTCTGCAAAGCCGGCTTAACGGCGGCGCTGAATGGTATAACGGAGATGTCGCGGCCTGCTTACCTCTCTCCATCACCGTCGAGATCCTCGCCTCCTCCCTTCCCGGTGCTCTGTTTTCTTTTTCCTTGGTGAGGATGTTAGTTATGAATATATTAATTACTATGCACTTCCGTATATTTAGCATCTTTCTCGTCCGTCTAGCTCCCTTCTATCCACTCTCTTCCCCCTCTCTGTCTCTGTCTCTGTCTCTGTCTGTCTGTCTCCCTCCCTCTCTCCCTCTCTCTCTCCCTCCCTCCCTCCCTCCCTCCCTCCCTCTCTCTCTCTCTCTCTCTCTCTCTCTCTCTCTCTCTCTCTCTCATCTCTTCTCTCTCTCGTCCCCAATGCCTTCCATCCCCACTCCCAGTCGTGCAGCACAGCTAATCCCAACGGACCGCTCCCGCCGACCCCGCTGACAGGGCCGGGGATCGGAACGTCCTCTCTGACCGGTGACCTGCAGTATGGGGTCACACCACTGACACGATACAGACACCGGTGTTGATTGCGTCACACGGGGAACTGCGGCATGCCAGAGCAGAGGAGAATGGGTAATGGAAAGCTAGGAATGCTGAAGTTTTGACAAAATCTTGCCAATTATCAGTTAAAATGTATGAATATTTGAAAGTGTTTTTGCTGCACTTACTTTTCCTTTTCTGTTCATTCAATCGTCTTCCACATAAAATACCGTCGTCGACTGTCGTTTGAACGTCTCTCTCTCTCTCTCTCTCTCTCTCTCTCTCTCTCTCTCTCTCTCTCTCTCTCTCTCTCTCTCTCTCTCTCTCTCTCTCTCTCTCTCTCTCTCTCTCTCTCTCTCTCTCTCTCTTTCTCTTTCTCTCTCTCCCTCTCTCTCTCCCTCTCTCTCTCCTCCGGCCAGTCCCACGGCTCTCCCTGACCAGGTGAGGTGTATCACATTGCGTCCGCGGGTGGTCCCACCGAAGAAAAACCGCCCCACTGCTTATCTCGCTCGGTCGTGCGCACAGATGACCTGCTTTACGTGCCGCGGGTCCCGGCTGCACACAACCGGGCTCTGATAGTGCCGAAACCTGACCTGCCACCGCGCCGGTCAAAAACTGGCCCACTGCGATCGGGACGGGGTTTTTAGATGGGATAGAGAAGGGTTGACGGGATGAGAGCGACTGACGGGACGGGAGGGACGGGGGGACGGACAGACCCGCCCAGGGTGCTGATCAGGTGGGTAACTGGAGCTGATTGGGATGGTCGAGTTGGATTAGATGTGAGGACTGAGTGGAATCGTCTTATCGCTTGTGATTGCTATCGGTATTGAGAGGATGGGCCTCGATAGACGGCAAGGGTCGGCTCAGATAAGGTGGCACGGAGGGACCACCCACAAATCGTTTTTTATGTGCTCTAAAAGGATTAATCTTATCTTATATATATATTGAATATGCGTCGTAATGGAGGCACATTTAAAAGAATTTCCTAGCTATAGCCCGTGAGAGCAACTGCATTCAACTTTCGGTTACGTTGAACCCCGGGCACTGATTTGTCGGTTTTGTGACTGGAACCTAAACGGTTGTCACCTGGTCTTCACAGAGCATCAGATGACACCAAGCTTTTCCTCCAGCTTTCATCGCCGCTCCGAGTGAAGTCTGACCTATCTGCCGGCATCAGTGTCCCTCCCGTTCACCCCTTTCGCCGCCGTGTCGAGTTCGTCGGTCTGTGGCAGGTGGGCCGGCCTGCTGCCGCCACCGCCGGCCGCGCCGACCGTGCCCTATCTCCTCCGGTCACCTTTCAGACACGGCGCGCCGCGTCCGCCGCGCTGAGACAAAAACGACGCGCACCGCTTTCATCGCGGCGCGCGCAGCTGGTCGCCGGCCGCCGGCGCTGATTACTTGCGCAAACATTGCAGCGGATCGCGCGGCGGCCGTTGCAAAACAAACAGAATCACAGCCCATAAAGCATGTTTGCCCCATTATGTCTATCGCGGCGCCGCAGAAAAAGAGGTAATAAACGTGGAGAAAAATGCGCGTGCCTGCTTAAGCTGCATGCTAACGTCCGCTCATCTGGCGACGGGGGTCATTAGGATTCAGACAGGCCAACATCAACAGTATCCTCTGATTACAGGGCCTTTAAAAATAACACAAACGGTCCTAACTAATGCCGTTTAGTGGTCGCAATGCATACTGTATTTATACACGGCGTGAGCAGTAAGCCCCCTTTTTATTCGGCCAACGGATGTCGATGTACTCTCTGAACCTCGAGTTTTCGCGTCCTACCGTCTGGTCAGATTTATTCCCCCAGGTCCAGTCTCGTCTAGACAGTCTGCTGTCTAGACACCCGGTCAGCCGCCGTCTAGACAGCCTCCCGTTTTCGTGTCCTAGTCTCCCAGCCATCTGACCGGATTTGTTCACAAAGTTCCGTCTAGACAGCCTGCCATCTATCGACACTCGGTAGCGGTCAGCCGCCGCGCCGTCTAGACGTCTGTCGCTACCTGACCGATTGTCTCAAGCCCCGCGCATGTGTGTGTGGTGGCTGTTCTGGGTCGTATGAGTCATCAGTCTAGACATTTAGCGGGCTTTTGGTATCGTCTCTTTCGTCCATTGTTTCTGCTTTTCAACCCGGGAGACTGAGCTGAGGTTCATGGGATGGGATAGAGCCGGGGTTCGTAGCCATAGACACGCGTTGCGCCACCCATTGTCTTCATTCGATATGCCCGTCATGCCCCGGTATGTGGGCTTCATTTCACACCAGACTGTATGTCGCAGCTCAGTCAAACGTCTGTGTGCTGGGTGACTCAGAAGTCGCCGCCACCAGCCAGCCTGGCGGTATCAAAACCGGATGGGGAGGGGAGGGGTACCTGATAACCTGGCGTCGCTTCCCTTCCCAGCCCCGCTGGCCGTATCAGGTGACTTTGTGACTGATGCAACTTCCCAACCGCCATAGTCCGCCAACATGGCAAACCTGAATACTTCCTTCTACGTGGCAGGACATTGAAAGCCGAGGGATGATTTGTTCGTGGTTTGTGAATTGTGATATTATAAAAAGCCGTTGATTGCAATATCGAGCTGCTGAAAATTGCCGGGCTTGTCGTAAGATGCGTTAAGTATTCTGTTAGAAATTCCTAGCACGTCAAGCGCGAAACATCACTGGCTAGTGACTTCATGTAAAAACGCTGTAGTTGCGAGTTTTCAGCTCCCGTGGCGGTGAACAAAGATACGTTCAATAAACATACAGCAGTTTGCCTGAAATTTTTTGCTCCCAAGAGAAACGGCAATCTTCACACCAAGGAATCTGGGCATAAAGCGCGAACGCGCGCTGAGTAAATGTTTACAGTCGTGGTCAACTGGGCGAGAACTCCCGCCCGGCTGGATCAACTCTGAGCCGGCTCACTTTATCGGCCCCAGCTAAACTACGCTGACCACACAGTGAGTAACGCTGTGCAAGACTGTGACAAAACTTTATCGCGCCCCACATCTAAGGCCGCCATGGGATGTGGGGCACACGCCGGGCGGAATGAATGTCGGCATGGGGCTCATTTCCTCAGCCAGAAAATTCAGTCAGCTTTACTCGTTCAGAAAAAAAACTCCAGGCACTATGCTGGCCGATATATTTCTATAAAATGATTATCGGTCTACACATACAGCTAACTCCTAACACTCGGCGCTCAACAGACGCCTGAGACGGATTAGTGCTTCTAATAAAAAACTCCCGGATCCATGAGTGAGCCGGCTCCCCGAAAATCAAGACCCGGGTACGTCTAAATCGGGCTCGACATCTGAGACGGGCTCGTATCAGGTCGATCTCGACAAGTGCTTTGTCATTTGTGTAATGTGAGGACTGTTCGATGCTCCTGGTTACTGAGTTGCATCACTTTGGGGTCGGCGGGTTAACCTGTCAAATGCATATAGCGTCTTGACGAAGTTTCCTTGGTTGTTTGGTTGTTCCGTGAATCCGTGAGCTGCGATGATCTTTCCTCTGACATGATCTTTTGAATATAGGCGGCGGAACGGGAAGGGCACCGGGGCACCGTGCCCCCCTTTGATTTAGGCATGGAAAGAATAGGACCAAAAGTCGGCAGTGCCCCCCCTTAATTGAAGGTGTTCCGCCGCTACTGCTTGTGAAGTATATAAATAAGCATTAAAGTTCATCTGCCTGTCTGACTGGCCAGTCGTCCGTTTGCCCCCCTCCCCCATCAATCCGTCCATTCGGCCGACCGTCTCTCCGCCCCCCTCCCCCCAACTCGTCCGTCCGTTAGTCCGTGCCGTCAGCCGCCGCCAAGTCGTCTGGTTCCTGTCACATCTGCACTGCTGACGCACGGCCCGTTCAGCAAACTCAGCAGCCGTTTTTGTGTAAGCAGCTTTCGCTGTCGGCCACCTATCCGCGTCTGCTACCACCGCCGCTACCGCTAACGTATCCGCCGTCACCGCCGCCGCCGCCGCTTCTGCTGCTGCTGCTGTAGCTGCTGCTGGCAGATGGGTGAAGCTTTTCCGGGGAAGTTGGTGGGGCAAAAAATTGTCAAACACTTACATTGTTGTTGTGTCGTGGACACATGTTGTTATAAAGTTATGTTATTATTTAGTCCCGACTCGGAGGTCACTTGAGTCATGATGCGCGTGACCTCCTTCGAGCTTTAGTTATTGCAGTCAGAGTCGGACACAGTCGATCTCCGAGACGTACATGTTACATGATCGTTTTTATTCTCATGCCCAATGTCCAATATAACTGGGTGCAACTAAATGAACTCTTGCGGGGCAAAGATATGAAACTGATATGAAACGGAACAGCAGCTTCTGAAGCGTCTCGATGAAGTCCTGGACAGACTGGAAAGGCATGGACTCAGACTAGCGGCCAGCAAGTGCAAGCTGATGCTGCCGGAGGTAGAGTACCTCGGATGGAAGGTGACAGCCGAGGGCATCAGTCCGACGGATGAAGGGACGTCGGCGCTACTAGCAGCGCCAGAGCCGCAGGATGTCCAGCAGCTTCGGTCACTGCTTGGATCAGTCACGTACTTTGCTCGACTTCTACCTGATCTGTCAACAGTGCTGTCCCCCCTGTATCATTTATTGAAGAAGGACAGCCCGTGGAAGTGGACCAAGCAGTGTTCGGCGGCAGTCGCAAAGGTGAAGAAGTTGCTGACGAATCCGCCGGTGCTGATGCGGTACGAGCCGACTCTTCCGCTGAAGTTGGTGACGGACGCCAGCAGTGTGGGCGTGGGAGCAGCGCTGATGCACGTGCTGCCGGGTGGTGCAGAGAGGCCCATTATGTACGCGTCTCGGACGCTGACGCCGACCGAGCGCAAGTACGCACAAGTTGAGCGGGAGGCCGCGGCGGTGTCGTACGGAGTGAGCCGTTTTCACCGGTTCTTGTACGGCCGCCAGTTCACGCTCGTGGTGGACAACCGGGCGCTCTCTCGGATCCTCAGCCCTGACAGAAATTTGCCAACCTTGGCAGCAGCGCGTCTCCAGCGTTATGCTCTGCAGCTGGCGGCGTATTCATACACTGTGGAGCTGCGGCGCTCTGAACAGATGCATGTGGCGGACAGTTTGTCTCGGCTGGTGGCGCAGACTGAAGGAGACGAGCAGTCGGATGACAGTGACAGCTTCAGTGGAGGTCACCTGCTCTATATGGACGGAGTGACGCCGGCACTGACTGCGCAAGAGCTGACGACAGCGTCCAGACGGGACCCGATGCTGAGCAAGGTCCTTACCTACGTGAGGTGCGGCTGGCCCGATAACGTGGAAGCGGAGCTGGAGCCGTACAAGAGGAGGCGAGAGGAGCTATCCACAGACGGCGACACGGTGCTGTGGGGTGGACGGACAGTGGTCCCCCAGCGCCTGAGGGCGCGGGTACTGGGCGAGCTGCACGAGGCTCACCTGGGCGCGTCCAAGATGAAGAACCTGGCCAGACGGTATGTATGGTGGCCAGGCATGGATGCTGAGCTGGAGGGACTGGCGAGAGACTGCGCGGACTGCGCGGAGAAGCGAGGGGCGCCGCCGCGGAGTGTTCTGCACCCGTGGGAGCCAACTGGCGTGCCCTGGGAGCGTATCCACGTCGATTTTGCGGGCCCGTTCCAGTCATCCTACTTCTTCATTGTCTATGATAGCCATACGAAGTGGATAGAGGCGGTGCCTATGCGCGAGATATCGACCGAGAGCACCATTCGCGAGCTGAGAGCGATGTTTGCTCGGTTTGGCATTCCTCGGCAGCTCGTATCAGACAACGGGGCGCAGTTTACCGCTATGCAGTTCGCCGAGTTTACCAGAAACAACGGGGTGCGGCACATCCGTGTAGCACCGTACCACCCCAGCAGTAATGGCGCTGCGGAGAGGGCCGTTCAGACCGTCAAAGGCGGCCTGAAGGCGGCGCTGAGAGGAGGCGGTACTCTGTCGGCCAGACTGCAGAAGTTTCTGCTCGCGTACCGGGTGGCTCCGCACGCATCGACTGGGAAGTCACCGTCGGAGATGATGCTTGGGAGGAGCATCAGGACTCGCCTGGACCTGTTACGACCCGATCCGGCGGGCCGAGTCCGAGACCAGCAGCAGAGACAGGAGATGGCGGCCGGAGGAGCGAACCGATCGTTTCTGCTGGGTGATGAGGTGTGGGTGCGACACTACGGTGGCCCCAGCAAGTGGAAGCGAGGGACGGTGGTGGCCAGAACCGGTCCGGTCTCATACGAGGTCAAAGTCGGGGAGGCTCTGTGGTCTCGTCATGTGGACCAGATGAGAGCGGCTGGCCAGGGCGCTCCGGCCGACGCCATCGTGTCAGAGAGGCCAGGGACCGCACCGGCACCAGAGACGGCGGACAGCGCCGGACAGCCAGGACCGACAGAGCAGCGTCCGGTGGGACAGCCGCAGTCACCGTCAGAGGTGCAGCCCACGGCCGGCCGCGGCATCGGTGGGAAGATGACGGCGGGAGACTCTGCACAGGAAGTCGGAACGCAGACAACAGAGGCTAGTCAGCGAGGGGCCGACGACGCGGAATGTCAGACGGAACCTGAAACGGACACATCAGGAGCCGACAGCAGCCGTGATGAGAGTGACGTAGAGCGGGACTCGGGCGGAATCAGCCTGAGTAACGCCACTGACAGTGTGCTCGACACTGGACCACGTAGGTCTGAGCGTGTGTCCGAAAGACAAGCTCACTAGTGGAGCTGTCTAAGGGGAGGAGAGTGTTGTGTCGTGGACACATGTTGTTATAAAGTTATGTTATTATTTAGTCCCGACTCGGAGGTCACTTGAGTCATGATGCGCGTGACCTCCTTCGAGCTTTAGTTATTGCAGTCAGAGTCGGACACAGTCGATCTCCGAGACGTACATGTTACATGATCGTTTTTATTCTCATGCCCAATGTCCAATATAACTGGGTGCAACTAAATGAACTCTTGCGGGGCAAAGATATGAAACTTGTCCTATTGTCATGTTGAATAAAATGCATACACTGAATCAATCCCTATAAAACAGATAAAATATATTGCAATACACAGACATTCCAAACTTCCTCAAGGCAAAAAAAAAAAAGATTTCGAAAGCAACAACGTCCTACAAATTAGCTAAAGTTGGTGGTGCAAAACGCCTATTGGTGGGGCAAAATGGCAAGTCAATGGGGCAGCCGCCCCACCAACTCTATAGGAAGCTCCGCCCCTGGGCCTGCTGCTGCTGCTGCTGTTGCTGCTGCTGATAGCTTTGCCATCGAGATTCCGTTGTCACTACTACAGCCGTCGCAGCTGCCGTCATGTGGGTGTCACATCTACGTCACAGCCTCTAACCTCGGCTACTGCTGACATCCGATATAATCGGGCTCCGATTTGATATATTCTTTATCGTCTCTGTACGTCGGTCCTCAGCCACAATCCACCAGACGCCAAGACGGTTTCTAACCGCCATCCTCTATTACGTGGGCTATTAAGTGTCATTTAGTGGCGATTTTGCCTCTATCGCGTCGACCATCCGCAGACAGGTAGCTGTACCGGTCGGACATATACCGATAGCGTAATACCGTCCAATTTGGTGTATTCAGATAAACCCCGGCACAAAAACCAGACCAGATATTACGCCGCAAAAACGCCCCGATGTCTGCGGTGAGCCGGTGTGGGCAGAGTTCGCCCGGGGTTCGGCTGGGTCGGGAGAGGGCAGGGCGGGTCTGGCTGGGTCACCCACGCGGACGGGGTTACTGCTGTTGGGTGTCAAACAGCCCCTGAGGGGGGAGTTTTTGACGTCACAGGGGTGTAAGAACACCAGTCTCTCTACACACCAGGTCGTGCGCCGACTGCCCGCGCCCCTCGCGGCGGCCCGGAGTGTCCTGGGGCGATTCTGCCACCCACGCCTCTGAGGCTGGTGTCGGGACGAGGCTGGTACGCCGGGTGCGACGCCCACCCGGCTGCCGAAATGGAGCGGAAGGGTGCCGGGGCCAGGGCCGCGGACCCCGGGCAGGAGCGGGGGTCGTACTGACAGGTGACCTGTCATCACGGCAAGTCAGATGATGTGTCACTGCGTGTGGGATGGGAGGAGCGTGGGGATGCTGGTCATCTGTCAAATGCATTGATGCATACTGCCGGGCTGGTACTGAAGACGTTAAGTGCATCCTGCAGGCTCTATGGAGCCCCGGCAAGCTGCCTTGGAGATAGTTATCGGCCATGTCAGACAGCGTGGCCCCGAAACAACATGACAGAAAATTAATAAAAACGTCATTCCACAGCTGACATATAATCAACTACAGGCCTCCATCAGTTCAGCTGATATTGTCATCGGTGTGAGTGTTTCTGACCATGCAAACGTCCACTCTATTCCCAACCCAATCACTTTCATCACTTTCCAACTACAACAACCAACATCTATTCTGCCCGGTGACAGAAGAGCGTACAACCCACTCTGTTTTCCCGTCTGCATACCGCGGGCCGTACCGAGCACATTCTCTCGCATGTGGCGGTGAGCGGTGGGTGGCATGAAGCCGCCGCAAATCACCAGTACACGTTACTCCATAACACCCAGCTACCCCGGGCCCGCGCCGTCTCCCTTCACACCCAGTTCTTGCTCCTCCCTGCTTTTTTACCGAGCTCTGAGCGCCCACACAGCACCGCCGCACTTGACCAGATAAATCAGAGAAACCAGACAAAATACATAAAAGGCGTGTATAAATTATGGCGTCTGGGCCGTGATGGGTTAGATAGGCCGGCCCACAGAAGCAGAGGTGAGAGTCGGTCGCCATTACTGGCGCACAGTGGACGTTATCGCGACCACATCGTCCCCGAGCGACCGAACAAAATTAAACAGATAACAAAGGGCCGAACGGGAACGGGAAAAGTCGGGATTCATTTCTGATTGGGGTGTCAAGATTAAAAATCAGGTAGCCCGGGTGGCGGTTTTATTTATTGTAATTACATACAGTGAGCGCACAGGTCCAACAAAGCTTGTAATTGGCCAGGGTTTTTGGCTACTGGGTTTGGTGGATTGGTTTGTCCGAAATAGGGAAGGGGCTGTGGGGTGTGTGATGCCTTATTTGGTGAAGGTGTCGAACAGTGGCCTTATAAGGAGTATTCAGTAGGGGAGAGTGGGGCACATTCGTGCAAAAAATGGATAAATTCATATATCTGTTCTTTGGTTAGTGCAACGGCAAAATTGTTGATTGTGGTATGGAAAGGAACTATTGCAGATATTTTTCCTCTTTAAAAGTTATCCTCTAAAATTATTGCTTCTATTAGAAAAAATGACTTTTAATAACTCTGAACGTTTGCACGAAACTGCCCCACCTATGGGGCACATTCGTGCAAGGGGTGGGGCACTTCCGTGCACCCTGCAAAGTTCTAGAAATTACCGGGCATTACCAGAAATTTACCAAAGGAAATTGGCAGGGGGTCATTTCACTTGATTCCTTTCGACAAGAATGCATTGCACAACATATGTAGAAAGAATGGGCTGGCCAACAAGAATGTGCCAACTGCCGGCCTCCGTGACCTCGCCAAGTTCGCGTGAATTACTCGTCACGACGTCGCAAGCAGCCGAGACTGAGTCAGGCGAGCGTCATTAGTGAAACCTACTATAGATAAAGTCATAAATAGCAAAAACTAAAAAAATATGCACGAATGTGCCCCCAGGCAGTGCGTACACGAACCTGCCCCACAACGTTATTTGTAATATATTTCAAAATTTCTTGTTGAAAAAATGACACTTTGTCAACAAACAAGTTTGCAGCAGTTCCGTGAATAGAGTGAGCATCTTCGCCCCCAATTTTGAAAAGCTGAACCACATTTCCGAGTCAGGATCACGAAAATGGATGATATGAGAAAAGTTTGGAAAGCTCACGAATATTACAAATTTGCGTTTTTATCAAGCATGACAGCAGGTACAGTGTTGTCTTCTACGGTGAACGAAGGGCGGCAATGATAGACACATTTCCATAATTTACCTTGAGTTCGTGCAGTCACTCGTGTTCCCATAAACTGCTGAAAACGAATGTGCCCCATGCACGAATGTGCCCCACTCTCCCCTATAGCAGAAACAGCGCCGATATATAAATCGAGGCCTTATGCTGTCCGACGTCCGTCATATTTATGGACAGGGCAATATTATCCTCCGTTGATGATAAATGCGGCACTTGACAAACAGGAGGGTATCTCTCTCAGCGCACCCTGCAGTTACGAAGTACAACCTTGGCGAGTGATGTGAGTAAAGTTTGGGTTTAGTTAATCCCGTTCTGTTTATTGGTCCGTCACCAAAGGACGTTAGAGCAAAATAACAGATGAGGTCATGCAGTGACATGACGCATTGGATGTGTTTAAATCTACAGAACTGTTCAATGAAAAACGATCGCTTTTAGTATCGAATCAACCAATCAAAGGGATTTATTGATGGAATTTACAAAGTTATGCATAAAGTTGCCCTAATGTTTGACGTGTTATACATACAGTTAGTCGCGCCTCAAACTTGACGTCGTCCGATATAAAGTTACAATGATAATTCGTTCTAAAACTATTATCCGCAACATTATCGATCCTCGAATGCGATCATCGCTTCTATAGACCCTCTCTATTAATCAAAGAGAGGTGACAATCCATAACACATTGATCACTAAAGCAAACACCTTCACTTGGTCACCACTGTATGGCGCACGCTGCAAGCCTTACATCAACATTCAGCGCAGCCCTTCAGCCCGGACCGGTGCCACTTCACCATTATCCCTGCTGAGTGGTCCTCCGGCGGCCGCTGTGCCATCCCGTACAGCACGTGCCGACACGGGTCGCTCCGTATCACATTAAAGGCCCGTTTGCAGTCGGCTGCACTTGGCGCGCGTCATCTGATAGCCGTCTGGCGCGTATCGAACATCTCAATAGCCGCGCAGACCCATCCATAATTGGCCGCCGGAGAGCGCCCTATTGAGACCACCGGTGGACGGGCGGCGTCACTGGTGACCGCAGCGGTGACGTCACAGAAGGTCATTGCCTCATTGCTGCTCTGCTGGAGAATGCGTGGAAGAAGAAGGTGCATGTAGATATTTTTACATGATTATCGAATTACTTACTTACGTATTAGATCTAACACACTACGCAAGTTTATTGCTAGGAAATGCATACTCCAATAATGAGTAATAAGAAAAAGAAATGCTTCAGATTACTCATTTATTTCAACCGTTAAAAAAACGACTTAGCGACACAATACACCTTGTGCCTGTTCTCAACCTATCGCACATATGTAATCCTTTACCGTCCAGCCGGCCGTCTCGACAGTCGTGGCGCGTAAATTACTGACCGGCTGCCTCTCATGGCTACCGGGCAGCCGCTCGCCACCGGTCCATTCAGACAATTCATGGCGCGCCGTGCACCGCGCGCACGGTCATCGGTGCGTTCGCCCACCGAGGGTCCGAGACATCCATCTGTGGCTCATTAGGGCGTGCATCCGACGGCGAACGGCCGTGCACGCGTGCATGATGCCGCAGGTGGGCTGTGCGGGACGCGTCGAACAGGTGTCCCCGCCTGGTGGACATTGCACGTACAGTGTGCAACAGGTGGGAGGCGGTCAACGGTGGGCAGGGTGGGAGGGGGGAGGGGTCGGCGCACCGGTATTTTGGGCTTGAGTTGTAGAGATTTCCTACGAGCTGGTGATTGGTGTGATATTTTTGTGTATGAGCAAAATTTCAAAATTAAATTAGGGAG